TTACTGGTTTATGTAATTGGTGTGATGAGGTAGAAACAATGGAACATGTTTTTATTAGTTGTACGAAATATGTAGATCAAAGAAGAATATTAAAAAATGAATTAGGTAGTAATAGGGATTTGAAATTTAAGAATGTGGTTGAGCAGTTAAATGATACTGAGGGAAAAAAGAAGATCTTTCGTTTTTAAAAAAATACTGGGATCATTATGAGAATTTGAGGTTTAGACAATAGGATCCAGTAGAGGGCAGTAATACAACAATCATGGATGTAAGCTGCCGTTAAAAATCAAAGAAGAAGAAGAAGACATCCGGATCCGGCGGAGGGATCGTCCAGTTGAAGCCAACCGTCAAACATGGTGCAGCTTTTGCCAAATCTGTCTCCATCCGACTTTAAAACTTAAATATCTTGCAGTTGTCATGAACTGAATTGTATCGTAAAGCGGTAAGTTGAGTCAGTATTCTGTTTTGTTGAGATAAATGTAGTGTTAAAGCCGTTAAATCAGGGATTTGTTGGCTGTGAGCAGAACGTGGGGGTCTGTTTCTGACCCGTTGTTTGTTTTTCAGGCCGCATCGCGCCGCCACCGGCCCCCATCGCCATGGACGGGTACAACTAACTGAAGGATCCCTGATGTGTAGGTTTTAAGTTCAGTTATCGGTGTAAGCAGACCGTTCCAGCGAGGCCGAGCCTGCCGTGGCTCCGGCCTTTCCTACTGTGTCTGCCATAGAAACGAGAGGCTGTTTGAGGCCCTGTTGTGGTGCCCCCCGCAGCAGGGTTGTAGGTAAACCTCCAACAAACTGTTAAACCAGAACAGCCAGTCTCTAGTTCAGGTCCGAAGTTCTTAAGTCGGATCCAGTCTGGACCTTTTTCACCAGTAACTTGTTTGGGATTTGTAAAATAAAATGCAGGAAATGCTATTTTAGCTGCTGTTACAGTGAAATGCAGAGGACAAAAAACTCAAATCCTCATTTTGTTTCAGGTCCTGGGAGGCAGAGCCAAAGCGTCCGTGTTCGGGTCTCCTGGCTGGACTGAAGGAGGTGGGTTTTGGTATTTGTTGTGAAACACTGATGATTCCTCTGATTAATCAAACAATGCAAAACAACAATGCATCCAGTGTTGAGGGAGACAGAATAAACTGAGTCCTGGTTTTGTCTGGGGGAGGTTAGCTAGCACCAGAGTCCATCTGGTGAGGTAAGCAGACCGTTCCAGCGAGGCCGAGCCTGCCGTGGCTCTGGCCTTTCCTACTGTGTCTGCCATAGAAAGGAGAGGCTGTTTGAGGCCCTGTTGTGGGCTCCCCGCAGCAGGGTTGTAGGTAAACCTCCAACAAACTGTTAAACCAGAACAGCCAGTCTCTAGTTCAGGTCCGAAGTTCTAAAGTCGGATCCAGTCTGGACCTTTTTCACCAGTAACTTGTTTGGGATTTGTAAAATAAAGTGCACGAAAGGCTATTTTAGCTGCTGTTAAAGTGAAACACAGAACAGAAAAAGCTCAAATGGTCATTTTGTTTCAGGTCCTTGGAGGCAGAGCCAAAGCGTGCATGTTCGGGTCTCCTGGCTGAGCTGGTTCGGGTCTCCAGACTGAAGGAGGTGGGTTTTGGTATTTGTTGTGAAACACTGATGATTCCTCCGATTAATCAAATTATGCAAAGAGTCCAGAAGACATCCAGTGTTGAGGGAGACAGAATAAACTGAGTCCTGGGGTTTCTGGTTCAGTCTGGGGGAGGTTAGCTAGCATCAGAGTCCATTTGAGTTCATACGGTGAGGTGAGCAGACCGTTCCAGCGAGGCCGAGCCTGCCGTGGCTCCGGCCTTTC